GCCGAACTTACAGCTTTTTTACTTGTTAGATTTAAGTTTAAGATATTTTTGTTGAAAACTTAGCTTAAATCATCCAGATATCGAATACCTTAGGTTTCTGTGCTGACGTATCTTATCACTTTGTTCTAAGTTTTTTTACTTCCTATTTCATAGGATTAACCCATTATTTTTAAACTACTTGTAATGCAGGAGAAGATTTGTTTACATTACTTTTAACTGGATAATTCAAAGTTTTTGATGGACTATATACCCATTCAATAGTAACAGAAATTTAGTCCATACGGACTTAGAGACCATGACAATATACTTTTTGCAAGGTCTTCTCAGAAATATACGACCTTTCAAATGTCTTTTATACAGCATTTTGTGTTCGCAAGATTAAACCTTGCAGATGTCTCCGGTACTTTAGACAACCTCCCTGAACTGAATTATCCAATTTAACCGCAGAACTAAGTGTCTATAGAAAATTTCCTAAAATCCTAATTCCCCTCCACTTTCATGTTGGTACCTCCTATCTATGCCTAATGAAAATATGTACATTTTAATTATCGGTTAAAGGAAACAGTAGCATTGCACAATTCCCCCCAAAAAAAATACCACCAAATTGTTGCCGGCTAATGAATGCAAATGGAAAGAAAATTATCTCTTTTGTGGGGGTGGGGGTAAAGGCAGGGGACCACCAATGCCATGAATTCTGGTACTAGCCTTTGTTCACTTAACTTGCCTGCCGTCCATATATCCTAGTGTCTAAATGCCGATAGGCAGGCAACCAGGCAGCATGCTGCCATGGGCCACAAAAAATTGCCAAGAGAAACAAAAAACTAACACCTGCTGATTTTCAAACGTTTACTCAATCCAACAGCGAGAGCTGCGAATAGCACCACTGCCACCTCCAAAAGATTTATTCCTAACAATTTCGGTGCGATTATTTACATAATTTAGCATTAAATTACTGGCCATTGGCGTAATGCATTTCTGCGAATGTGAATTGATTGTCGCACATATGTATATACGAGTATATATTTGTTTTTTTTTTCCTCAATTTGGGAAATTTTATATTTCAATTTAATAAATCTAACAAAAGGAGAAACAACAACACTTTGCAAGATTTTCTTGTTGAAATGTCACCACCGATTGAGAGACGGGTGCGCCGGTGTTCTTGTCAGGTGAATTATTTACAATAATCACACAAATATTTAAATTTATAATTATTCGGTAATGGCGGATTTCTTATTTAAATGGACTCGCTCGCTTACCGCATTACGCTAATCTCGCTCTGGCGGACAATTATTTGCACAAAACCGACTGTCAATCAACTGGCCCAAATCGACAATTGAACATGGCTAACATTTAAAATAAAATTCAATAAATCTATCAGATTGCAGCAGCGGCAGCAGCAGTTTTTTTTGTCTGGTGTAATGGACAAAAATATTTTAAAGTTTCGAATTTATTATGCAAAAACAACATTAAATTATTTAACATTTACATGGCAAGTGTTTTAAGATTTGGATTTTTTTCGATATGGACAAGGGAGGAGTGGAAGTGGTACGAGTATGATGTTGTTTAACGGAAGTTTTAATGGAGAAATATTTGTTTCTAATACTTAGAAATCAATGAAATTGGAATAAATTCAAATGAATTGAAGATCATAGAATCCATCCTCCTCCTTAGATAATCTTCAAATTTATAAGGTTCGGAAATGCCTACTATTCTGTACATAGAAGCCCTATAGAATGATTCCTGAGACTACTCAGCAAAACTTCTTATTACCAAATAATCAGTTTTCTAACCAATTTTTGGTAATCACAACTACTTACAGACGTGTAATAAGGCTGTTTTTTTTAAATCGTGCTAAAAGCGTACCAAAGGACCAAAATGTACTAAAAATTTAATACTTTGTATTGTGCAAACGGATTAAGCTAAAGTTCTGAAATTTGAAATGAGAGTTACTGATGGAGTGCAGGATAGATGTACCAGCGGATCTATGGAAATTTGAATTTAAAGTTTACGAGAAGTTCTAAATTTAGAACATTTGGTACTAAACTTCTAAAATGGTACCATTTGGTATTATTTGAACTGATTGATATATGAAAATGGTTTTGAAAATTTTGTGTGCGAACTGTACTAAATGGTACTAAAATTTGGAACAATTTGCTCCGGAGTGCACTGATGAGGTTGGCATTTTGAAATTTGCTATTGGGGTCCCGCTTCGTAGTAGGTTTGTGATAAAAATGGGGTTTTGTGTGTTACCACCACACACCCTTTAGTATTTTTGTACACAGATACCATCAGCAATTTAAATATCAAATTTCAAAATTTTATATCCATCCCTTCATTCAATATCAAAAATAGTACCATTCAGTACTTTTCTACAATTGTGTATTGGGTGAACAAATAATGCTTAAAATCTGAAGTTTGGTATTGGGGTCACATGTGTAGCCTGGACATATGAAGGTGGCTTCGGAAATGTATATTATAATGGTATGAAAAGTACTGAATGGTGCTATTTTTGGTATAGGAATGAGGGATAGGGATAAGTAAATTTGATAAATAGATTACTGATGGTATCTTTGTTTGAAATTTCGTGGTGGTTGCGTCCTATATTTGTACGAAAGGTACTACATGATACTAAATTTAGTATTGTGTAAAGGGATAGGGCTGGAATCTTCAAATTTGATATTGAAGTCCCTTTCTGTATCTGAAATTGAGATATGGAGGTGGTTCCGGAAATGTGTACTATAATAGTACGAAAAGTACTGAATGGTCCTATTTTTGGTATTGAATGAAGGGATGGATATAAAATTCTAAAATTTGATATTTATATTACTGGGGGCCTCTGTGTTTGAGATTTGGCGGTGGTTTTGAAATACGTCCTATATTTGTACAAAAGTACTAAACGGTTCTAAATTTTGTATTGTGTGAAGGGATAGGGCTGGAGTCTACCAAATTGATATTGAAGTCCCTTTTTATATCTGGAAGTGAGATATGGAGATATGAGGTTGTGTACTAAATTGTACGAAAAGTACTGAATGGGACTTTTTTTGATATTGAATGAAGGGATGGATATAAAATTCTGAAATTTGATATTTAAATTGCTGGTGACATCTGTGTTTGAGATTTGGCGGTGGTTTTGAAATGCGTCCTATATTTGCAAAAAATACTAAATGGTACTAAATCTCGTGGGTGGGTAGAGTAAGAATCTTCAAACTTGATATGGAGGTCCCTTTTGGTATCTGGAATTGAGATATGGAGGTGGTTTTGGAAATGTTTAATAAAATTATATGAAAAGTACTAAATAGTACTAAATGAGGTATTGGGTTAAGTAATATAGATGATATATTGTCTCTGGATGCCTGTTAGTACCTGGAGATATAAGATATGGATGTAGTTTTGGAAATTTGTTCAATAATTGTTCGAAAAGTACTAAGTGGGACTAAATTAGGTATTGGTTGAAGGAATTGGTATCTGAAATTTGATATCGAAGTCTCCATTAGATCTGGGATAAGAGAAGGAGCTTGTTTTGGATATGTATACTACAATTGCATCGCTTTAGCTCGCCTAGAGAGGATCGCTTAAGGTCGCCCAAAGTGGATCGCTACAGCTATCCTAAAGAGGATCGGTTCAGCTATATGCTATACCTATAGGAGATCGCTTCTCAATGGGAATTTAGCTCGCCTATAGACAATCGATTCAATTCGTATTGGAGTCTTGCTTATAGAGATAGAGCGAGTCTCCAGCCTGCCAATGGAGAATCGACTCGCTCCGGCTCGCCTATAGAGATTCCCTTCTGCGCGCAACTTCCAACTCTGCTTCCCTTTGGCTTTGCTTTGAGACTTTCCCTTGTAACATATCTCTAAGATTATTTATTTCGTTGCCTGGTGTTATAATCTTGACCTTGAAAGAGTAATCTTTTCTTCAAATTATTATTGCTGCGTAATTTGAAGGACTCATTAAAAATTTGTGGCAATAAATGAAGCACTCTGAAATAATGGAACATGTGCAAAAGTCTCATTCTGATACTTTGTCACCGAAAACGAAAAAAATCCAACTCTAATTAGGGGTAAAAGCACTCATAAAAATAAGAACGAAAAACGATCTTCACTACGAAAGGGGGAATACCATCAGTCAGTCTGGTAGTCAGTCACTTATGTTCTTGACGCAACAAATGTTGGGAGAATTTTTGAAGAGTCTCGTAACCCTTCTTTATCCACAGCAAAAAAAAGAACGGGGAGTGCAAACAGAAGAAAGTGGAATAACCAAAAAACAAACGAATGAAAACAAAAACAGCTGGCGTCTGAATAAATAGACACAATGGGAATTCCTCCCCCTATTCCCTGAGTATGCGGCAGGGTAATCAACTTGAAAACAAACAATGCCAGTAACAACAAAAAAATAAATTAAATTACTTGCAGCGACCAACAAGTGTGGAACATTGTATCAGAAACTCCATTGCCTTGGAATTTCTGGGTCATAAAATTCAATTTTGTGTGAGTGTGTTTTTTCGATTTTCCAATGTTACACAATGTCTCTATTTTTATTGATGGAATTTTGAATTTTTGGTTAGCCATCAAACCATTTGATGGCCTAGACTATTACATGCGACATTTCCAAAACATTAGCTGGAGAACTTAAAATACAATCTATAAACTTCATGTAACCACATTGGAAAATGGAAATGTGTGCTTTGATGTGTGTGTGTTTCGGAATTCCCCTTCGCTCCCCGCCAACATAAAGTTAAATTTTTCTATTCTTGTATTTTAACACATCCATAAAAAGTTCTATTAAACTTCATTGTCGAATGTGGCCATTAGTCTGTAGAGCAGCTAAATCTGTTTGACATGTGTTACGGGGTTGGTAACATTTTTTTTTTTTTGAAGGGGATCCGCTTAATTTAAGTGGCTATTACAGTACTTTGTTTTGAAGTGGATAACAGACATGACCCAATGTGAAATATTTCATGTCTATTTTCTGAGATGGGAATGGGAAGTTTTTTCACTTACCGCAAAGAAATGTGGCCTCAAACGCCCAATCGAGTACTTGGCAATATCTGTCGTCAATTGGCCAACACCAGCTCCAAAGCCAAAGACTCCGATTTTCTTGTAGCACTGGACCAGCCATTCGGGTATTTCATAGTCCATAAAAACGTAACGTCTGCCAGTGTTATTGCCATTTGAGATTTTCTCTTGATGACGCGACTGGATTATTTCCACAATAATAATCTGAAAATAAATAGAAGTGTGAATTAAAAATAAATTAAAAAATAAAAAATTGAGACTATTTTAGGCCATTCCAAAAATCATATCAAGAACATTTTGGCAAAAATCGAACTAAAAATAATTTTGAATTAAAACTAATTTGGAATGATACTACATGTACGGTGAGCAACAAGTGTAAAATCGGATTAAGATGTATAACGAAGCTATATAAAAATCTGAACCGATCTCGATAAAATTCGGCAGAGGTATTTTCGAGCATTATGTGATGCACGGTATCAAATATAATTGTTGTGGAGTGCATATTACGCCATGTGAGGGACTTTAACACCACATCGGATGAAATCGAAACCAAAGTTTGAATTCCATTTGAGCTGATATTAGTCATTTGGTGCACAAAAAACATGAAAACGGATAAAGATATATATATGGAAGCTACATCCAAATCTGATCCGATCTGGGCAAAACTTGAAAAACTTATTTATGAGTTGTATCTGATATCTGGTATTAAAGATTATTGTTGTGAAGTGCATATTACTCATATGAGGGACTTAAAACCCCAAATCGGAAGAAACATATACATAATATACATAACCGATTTTCACCAAATTTGAAGAACTTATTTCTGGGATGAATTTAGTTGGAATCTCCAAAATTCAGTCCATTTGGGCTGATATTAGCAATTTGGTGCATAAAAAATCTGATATCGGATAAAGATATATATGGAAGCTATATTCTAATCCGAAGCGATCTCAATAAAATTTGACAGAGGTATTTTTGAGCTCTGTAAGTTATCTGGTACCAAATATCATTCTTGTGGAGTGCTTATTACGAGGGACTTAAAATCCCAAACCGGATGAAACATAATGTATTAGAAGTAAATACTAAACACTAAATTCAGTTGGATGTGCCGAAATTCAGGATTTTTGGTCTGATATTTGCCATGCACAATTAACCCGGCGGAATCGGCGGAAGATATGTATGGGAGCTATATCCGAATTTCAAAAGGCTACGTCCTTGGGCCAAAAAAATATTGTTTGTAAAATTTCATCTCACTTGAATAATAAATGCGACCTGCACCTGGACTGACATACATTAATCGACTCAAAAATTGATTCTATGAAGATTCACAAAAGTAACTACGGGTTTATCTCGCTTCCTTCTCCATGTTACAAACAATATCACAATAAATGCGAAATCAACATCTGATTCCATACAGACTTAGTACATCTCAATATTTCTAGCAACACAAGATCTGTTATAAAGATGGTAGGGATCGGACCATTCCTTTTGGTACCTCCCCCACAAAGCGTTAAAGTTTTGAATAATCAAATCGATTATAAACATATTTCAGACATCCCATTATTTCAACTAACACAAGATCTGTGTGAAGATGGGATATACTGGTCCACTCCTTCTGGTACCTCCCCCAGAAAGGTTCAAAATTTTGAATACCCATGAAACTCTTAAAACGCGAAATTAACATCCCATTGCATTTAGAATTGATATATCTCAATATTTCCATCAACACTAAATCTGTTATAAAGATGGGAGAGATCGGGCCATTTCCTTTGGCACAGGGTTTCAGATTTTGAAAAACCAAACGCCAAACCAAACCAAACAAGATCTGTTGTAAAGATTATATATCTGCGAACCCCTACTGGTACCTCACCCGCAGAGGGTCTCAATTTTCAATACTTCTATTTGTCATAACTTGCGAAACAAGTCAGCGATTCTTTACAACTTGCTATGTTTAAATATTGCTCTTAAAATAAATAAATTTTCGATTTTTGTAGTTATGCCCATACCAATATTTTTATTTGTATTATATGGAGTATGAAAATGGAATACTTCGGTCGACTACATCTGGTACTTCTTGCACAGTTTTCCTTTTTCTAAAAAAATATCACATATATCATATAAAGTGAAGCAAGTAAGCATTATAGTCCAACCCTGACACGTCGCAATATTTATATCATATTTATTTAGGTCTGATACGAAATGGCACATTCCTTAGAAATCTACTACATAGAGGGTCAACAATTTTGATAATGATAACAGAAGTCAAAATATATTTAAATAATCGAACGTTGGCTAAGGATATACAGGGTGAGATGAAAAAGCTGCTGTCATTTCTAAGTCACTCGTCCGACAGCTGTTAAAATTATTCCACTTACACCTCATTATATTGTTTACAAGCGTACAAAAGCATTTTGGTGAGAATTTTCCACAAAAAAATAGTTATTCGTGATGGAATTCAAGCGTGATTTCTTTATATTTGGCTGGAAAACTACAAATGGCTTCCGTTAGAGAACTCCAGCATTTAAATGTAAATAAATCTTTTGTGTCTCGTACCATCGCTCGTTACCGTGATATTGGTAGCGTAGCCCGACATCAAGGAAGTGGACGAAAGAAAACAGCAACATCAGCAGAAATGGTTCGAAAAGTAAAGAGGCGACTTGAGCGAAACCCGCGTCGCAGTGGCCGAAAAATGGTTTGTGAGCTGAACATATCGCAATATTCCATTCGGCAAATATTGAAAAATGAGCTCGGGGTAAAGCCATTGAAATTCCAAAAAGTGCAAGAACTCCCATTGCAATAGAAAGAAAATAGACTAAAAAGAGCAAAGGGTTGCTTCGCTTGGCGGAAAGTGGTGAACTACCGATGAGAAAACATTCGATGTCCAGCAGTTTGCAAACCAAACAAAATGATCGTGCTTACTTGCCAAAGAAGTCAGCTGAAAATGTGCACCTTCGGTTGGTCATCAGAACTCAAGCAATGGCCATGGTGATGGTGTGGGCCGCGCTAACAGCCGATGGTCGCACTCCGCTCGTGTTAATCGATCGTGGTATCAGAATAAATGCCGAAATATTGTAGCGAAAATATTCTGCAGGGTGTATTCAAGCTTTGGGCTTGCAAATATTTTGGCCGCAGATCTTGGACATTCCAAAAGGACTCAACACGCGCCACCCAAGAATAGTTACAAAATGAGTTTCCTCGCTTCATTTCCAGCGCACAGTGGCCACCAAAATCTCCGGATACCAATCCGTTGGACTATTGTGTCTGGAGTATTTTGGAAAGCAAGGTTGGCACTACAAAAATATCAAAGTGTCGATCACCTCAATCAAGCGCTTTGCAGGGAATGGTCCAAATACCGCAGAGCAACATTCGGGCAGCGTGTGATGGTTTCATTGGCCGTTTGAAGGCCATAATTCGTCGCAAAGGTGATTAATTAGAATAAATCTAAACCTTATCTAAAATTTGATGATATTTCCGAGATTTTTTGTTTTCTGATACGTTTCAACTGTTTTTATACCCTCCACCAAAAAAAATTTGGTGGGTATATTAAGTTCGTCATTCCGTTTGTAACTCATCGAAATAATTATTTTAGACCCAACAAAGTATATATATTCTTGATCAGCGTAAAATTCTAAGACGATTTAGTCCTGTCCGTCCGTCTGTCCGTCCGTCTGTTGTAATCACGCTACAGTCTAAACGAATTAAGATAGGAAGCTAAAATTTTGCACAGATCTATCTTTTGTCTGCAGGCAGGTCAAGTTCGAAAATGGGGTATATCGGTCCACGATATCGTATAGCCCCCATATAACGTTACCCCGCGATATTCGATATTTTGATGATTTTAGCCACATTTTCCAATCGTATTGTCTGAAAATCCACACACGGAGTTCTTTGTGAGCACTTTACCCCTGAAACGGAATTGTCTATATAGGTCCATATATCGGTACTCCCCGGTATTTTGATGATTTTACCCACATTTTTCAACGGAATTGTCTGATAATCCATACAAAGAGTTCTTTGTGAGTACTTTACTCCTGAAAGAGAGTTGTTTGTATAGGTCCACGATATCGTATATCCGCCATATAACGGTACCCTCTGATATTAGGTATTTTGATGATTTCAGCCACATTTTTCAACGGAATTGTCTGAAATTCCACACAAGGGGTTCTTTGTGAGCACTTTACCCCCTGACATAGAGTTCTCTATATAGGTTAACGATATCGTATAGCGGTACCCCCGTTATTCGGTATTTTGATGATTTTAGCTATATATTCCAATAGTATTCTCTGAAAATCCACACAAGGATTTCTTTGTGAGCACTTTAACCCCTGAAAGGTATTTGTCTATATAGGTCCACAAATATCGTATATCCCCCATATAACGGTACCCCCGATATTCGGGATTTTGATGATTTTAGCCACATTTCCCAATGGAATTATCTGAAAATCCACACAAGGAGTTCCTTGTGAGTACTTTACCAACAGACATAGATTTGTCTATATAGGTCCACAATAGCGTATATCCCCCATATATCGGCACTTTCCGATATTAGGTATTTTAAAGATTTTAACAGAATTTTCAATGGATTTTATTTTTTTGAATATTTTCTAATTCGTTCCAAATGGTGGAGGGTATTCAAAGTTCGACCCGGCCGAACTTACTGCTTTTTTACTTGATTTTTTACAATTTGTCGCAATGAGTGATAATCATTGGACAACTAAAAGTTCAAAAAAAAAAGAAGGACAAGGTATTTGTTTAGTATTTTAAGAATCAACTTCTTTACATGGCTTGTGAACTGCTAACATTGAACTCGCAAACCGCCTTGTTATCTGCGATCAATTAATCATTCGTCTAAGGTAACTCCTTCGGAGCAGAAATAATGAGGTAGCACTCACTTCGGCACCGTCTGTATGGGATGTTGTCGATTCGACAATTAACATTAACAATAATTGTAACGTCTAACTTTCAGAAACGAATATTACATAATGAAAGGGTAATGCAATCAACTTCTCATTTGAAAGCAATTGAAACCCATTATCCACTTTGTGGTTAACTTCTATCAAATGCATCCAGGTCATTAGAAGGCCAGCGAAAAAAGACGAAGTCATTTTCAAAACAAAACCCATAATTAATAATTAGAAATATTACACTTCACTTTTTTTTCATTTTGTTGGTTGGTTGGTTAGTTGGTTATCTAGAGCAGCAGC